GCAAGGCTGATGCAGCCACTGTGGTCAAACTTTTCTTTTACTTTGCTGTAGCAACATCCTGCCAGATTAATCAGTTGCAAAGGGGTTTTTTTATGACTGTTGCTGAAATAATACCTCAGTTAGTTAAAGTTGAAGGTTTTGTGCTACCCTAGCACAGATGCTGATACAAGTTTAAAAATGAATTTCTATAAACTATTAGTTGAGACGAAAGTTACCTTCCATAGTGCAGCTTCTTTTTTATTCCTGCCAAGCTGCAGCAAGTGGCTGGGTTCAGATCACTTTCAGTATTAATATTACTCCTTTCTAGACCTCTGCAACTGAATGATTTTCAGTAGAGCCTAAATGTGTGAAGGCTGAGCTCCCTGTCTGGGTGGAACTTGCTTTTTCTTTCAGGGCCAGATATTTGAAACATACAACATGGCGGCCTTATGGAAGTTGCCTTGCATTTTTATCTGTGAGAACAATCGGTATGGAATGGGAACTTCGGTTGAAAGAGCCGCAGCCAGCACTGACTACTACAAAAGAGGAGACTTCATTCCAGGGCTCAGGGTGAGTACACTTCAGCGTGGAAGCGAGGGGATGCATGTGCACGCACCTCTGCACAAACATATGTATGTATGTATTTCTTTTATTTTTAAATATATTTCTAAATAGTTTTCAAATGTAGGAAAATTTGAAACTGAATTCCTGTTGCACTTGTGGAAGTACTGAAATTGGAAGTTTGGGTGTTGGCATTTTTTTTTGCCTCAACTTGTAATTTCTGTTTATCAGGTGGATGGTATGGATGTTCTCTGTGTTCGAGAAGCAACGAAGTTTGCAGCTGAGTACTGTAGAGCTGGAAAAGTAAGTTGGTAATCATCATTCCTTTTCCATAGGTGAAATTCTTAGCCAGAGTATTGCTGCATTAAAAACTTCATCACCTGGCCCATTTTCTCCAGTCACTGTTGAAACTTTGTTTGACCTTTATTTCCTTTTTTACTCCACAGTATTGAACCTGTAAGCAATTGAGTGGTTCTTTAATTTTGTTAGAATTTGTTAATATGCAATTGGTATTGACTAAGGATTTAAAAGAAGATACATATAGTGATACTCTGTCATCTTTTTCCCCATTTCTACCCCAGTTAAGTTTTGTTGTGAAAGGTGTTCTGACTGTCAGGCAGTTGTGGTGTTTGTGAAGAGGTTTATCAGGGGAAGCATCAAAGAAAGTAGTAATCATTCTATATTTGCAACAAATGGAAAGTGAAGTAAAAGTTTTGTGAGTCAGCATCAGTGTCTGTCACCCAAGTATGCCACACTGGGTTTGAAGATTTGTAATGTTTGGTGAAATGTTTGTGCTGGGGCCCTACAGCAGGAAAAGAAAAAGGGTCTGTGAGCTACAATCTTACACTGTTGTGGTTTAGGCCCAGAGCGCCAAGCAGCTGCTTGCTCACTCTCCCCCAGTGGGAGGGGGGAGAGAATTGGGAAAAAATGACAGCAAGAGAGAAGGGAACAGCTATGGTAACAACAATAATAATAACAAAAAAGCAATGTGCAAGACCAAGTGATGCCCCATACAGCAATTGCTCACCACCCGGTGATCGATAGCCCGTCTCCGAGCAGTGATTTCCACCCCCTGCTCACTCCAGTTTATGTACTGGCCATGACATTGTATGGTAGGGAATATCTCTTTGGCCAGCCTGGGTCAGCTGTCCTGGCTGTGTCCCCTCCCAGCTCCCTGTGCACCCCCAGCCTCCTTGCTGGCAGCCCAGCACGAGAAGCTGGATTGTCCTTGACTGCTTAGCAACAACCCAAAACATCAGCACCTTATCAACATTTTCTCATCCCAAATCGAAAACATAGCCTCACGCTAGCTTCTGCGAAGAAACCCAGCTCTATCCTGGCTGAAACCAGGATACACTGAAACAACAGGCAATTTGAAATAGTCTGAGTAATGGTGGCATGACAGTGGAAGGGCAGAAATTGTTTAATCCTGATCAGTAAGAACATGAGAATAAATGCTTACCATATCAACATATGCTTTAATTTGAAAATAGGTAAGCTTCATTTTACTAGTTGTGATAGTTATGTAAATTAAACTGAGAAAAAACTTTGAATTAAAATCATTCATTGCTGGTGCCATTCACCTATAGCAAATGCTGCTGTAACAATGAAGTGGTCACTCAAGGTGGAAAGTATTGTGTTTTTTCTTTTTAAGGGTCCTATTCTGATGGAGCTACAGACATACCGTTACCATGGCCACAGTATGAGTGACCCTGGAATAAGGTACTGTGATGTTCGTTCTTGGCGTTCAGTGACAACAAATAAGTATTGATGGTCAAAATCTTGAAACTGTCATGGATGCAATGTTTAAATCCATTGTGAAGTGCATATAAAGGTTATGATGAAATTGTTATGACTAGTCTGATCACTCATTGCTCAGTTGATAACCCATGTAACATATTTGTTTTACCTGTATTTAGTATTAATACCTGTATAGTATTGAGATGTAGTTTTAGAACAAGCACAAAGTCAGTTAAACTTCTGTGCTTTCTGTTAATGAAGTCTGCTTTCAGGGTGACTTTATGGTGTGTTCTAATTAAGCTTTGACTGAAAAGCAGCCTGCTTTTCCAGGGGTTTTAGAGTATTTAAAATCACACACTAAATTACGGGAACAGCTTGGACTGTCCAGTCAAGTAGAACACTTCTTGGAAATGCAAATATACAGGTGCTAAAAAGGCTTATCAGGCATTGTGCCAACTGACAAATTCAAATAGTGCTACATGAAGTAGAGGCATATCCCAGGGCTTTGCTGGAAACTTGTTGTGAATTGGAAGCAGGCCGCAAGTCATCCAGCCCCCCCTTAGGGGCGATGGGAAGGAGGAAATGTGGCCCCTCATGGTAGCTGTCTCAGGCTGGGAGTGCTCCTCTTTCCCTGCCTACATTATACCTG